TTGAGCCTCCCCACCTACCCACCCCCCCCCCCCCCCCCAAATAATGTGTGATTGATTATTTCAGTGTTGCTAAATGTTAGCTGTGATTATCGATTTGACAAGATGAGATTTTGAGCTTGTTCCCGGTAACGGGTGTTTGATTATTCCTGGGTTTTGATTAACTGTGTGTTGTGGATATTGAACTGTTTTGATTTTCAATTGAAATTCCTAGAGAAAGATGAAGTTATGAGCATTTATTGGGTAATGTCTATTTGATTATTTCTGGGTTTAAGGTGTTTGTGTGAAGTGGATGTAGGTTAACTGGGATTTTCATTTGAAACTCTTAAAAGAGATGAAATTTTGAGCTATTTTTGCGACATTCTTCGTCTTGTAGATGTGTTGACCTTTAGCGGTCCAACATTCATTCCTATATAGCATTATTGGTCTTATAATTGTTCTATCGACTTCTCTTTTCACTTTTGTAGGCGTCCTTCTATCACATAACACCCCTTTAGCACTTCTCCATTTCAACCATCCGATTTTGATTCTATGTGTAACGTCTTTATCTATCATTCTGTTCTCCGGGGACGAGCCTAAATATCTGAATTATAGCAATTTCACCTAAATATTACTCTCCTTAGTTCAAGCTTTTGGTTGACACCCTTGTTTTCGTCAATTAGCACAATATCGTCAACGAATAGCATACACCAAGGGATTTTCAGTGACAATCTTTAAATAATAGATGAAGCTTTTAGCTATTTTTTGTTATGGCTGTTCGGTTATTTGGTTTTGAATATTTGTGTGCTGTGGCTGCAGGCTAGCTGTGATTTTCAGTTGAAATTCTTTAATTTTTTTAAAAAGATGAGACTCTAAGCTTTTTTACAGTAATAGATGTCTGGTATTTTCTGCATTTGTTTATTCATGTGTTTGTTGCTACAGGTTAGAGCTGTGATTAAGGGGAGAGTGCAAGGGGTGTTTTACAGGGACTGGACTGTGGAGAATGCTAAGGAGTTGGGATTGAAGGGTTGGGTTCGAAATCGGAGAGACGGATCTGTGGAGGCTTTGTTTTCTGGAAGCCCGGAAAAGGTTCAGGAAATGGAGCAAAGATGCCGGAGAGGTCCACCAGCCGCTATTGTCACTGGACTAGATGTCTTCCCCTGTGATGATGATCCTGGAACTGGGTTCGAGCGCAGACAAACTGGTTGATCATATTGTCTAGGCTAGCCTGTTGGTAATGCCAAAACTGAATAATATTCTTTGCTTTTTCTAACTTGCTTGCTTCATGTTGAAATAAATGGTAATAAGCACACCATTTTTGTACATACAGGTTCTTTGAAATGTTTTGGGTTTTATAATTAAACGTTCTTATTTATGTTATGCTTTCATGCGTTGATTCATTACAGCATGCTTGTGCATATTCCAATTGCCTTTTGAATTTTAACATTTCTTACTGTCTCCAATAACTAGAGTAACTTATGGAGTGACGTTTATGGCTTTAGGGTGGTGCTCAAGCCTCTTACGTTAGACCATTTCAGTGGTGAAGGTTTCATAACTTTTTATTCAGGACCATTTGATCAGAGAGATTTGGCCACTATTATGCCGTGTCTTTTGCTTAATGAATCACGTACCTCAGTAAATATAATTTAAACTATGAACTCAAATTACAGTTCCTTCTAGTTATTAATTTGGATTTGCTTCTAATGACACTTGAAACATGTCATTTGGAATCTTAAACGTTTGGATCTGGATCAAGTGAGGCGTATCAGAGACGAGGACAGTAGAGTATTGATGGGAGAGGTCCAGATTAAGCGGAGATGGCAGACTTACTTTTATAAACTTCTAAACGAAGAAGGGGATCATGATATTGTGCTAGGCGAGTTGGGGCATTTTGAGAGCCACCGCGATTTTGGGTACTGTAGGCGCATCAAGGTTGGGGAGGTCGTGGGAGTTATGCGTAAGATGAGCAAGGGCAGAGCCACCGGGCTCGACGAGATCCCGGTAGAATTTTGGAGGTGTGTGGGTAGAGCAGATTTGGAGTGGCTAACAGGGTTATTTAATTTTATTTTCAGGACGAAGAGGACGCCGGGCGAGTGGAGGTGGAGTACGGTGGTTTCGCTGTACAAGAACAAAGGTGACATCCAGAGTTCAATAACCTATGTTGCGCGGACTTCTAAAATGTAGCCGCACCCGTGTCGGATCCTTAAAAAATGCACTACTTTTGGAGGATCCGACACGTATTCGGCCACATTTTCGGAGAGTCCGAGCAACATATGCAATAACTATAAAGGTATCAAACTATTGAGTTATACTATGAAAGTGTGGGAAAGGGTAGTAGAAGCGAGGGTGAGGAGGACGGTGTCTGTATCAGACAACCAGTTCGGGTTCATGCCGGGTCGTTCTACTACGGAAGCTATCCACCTTATTAGGAGGTTGGTGGAACAATATAGGGATAGGATGTAGGATCTGCATATGATGTTTATTGATCTGGAGAAAGCGTATGACAAGGTTCATAGAGAGGTTCTTTGGAGATGTCTAGAGGCTAAAGATGTGCCGGTTGCTAACATTAGAGCGATTAAGGACATGTATGATGGAGCTAAGACTCGGGTTAGGACAGTGGGAGGCGACTCCGGGCATTTCCCGGTTGTTATGGGGTTACACCAAGGATCTGCGCTCAGCCCATTCTTGTTTGCTTTGGTGATGGATGCATTGACACACCATGTTCAAGGAGAGGTGCCATGATATATGTTATTCGCTGATGACATTGTTCTGATTGACGAGACGCGGAGTGACGTTAACGAGAGGCTGGAGGTTTGGAGATAGGCCCTTGAGTCAAAGGGTTTCAAGTTGAGCAGGACGAAGACGGAATATCTTGAGTGCAAGTTCAGCGCCGAGCCGAGGGAAGCGGGCATGGACGTAAGGCTTGGATCGCAGGTCATTTCCAAGAGAGGCAGTTTCAAGTACCTTGGGTCAATTATCCATGGGGATAGGGAGATCGACGAGGATGTCACACACCGTATAGGGGTGGGGTAGATGAAATGGAGGTTAGCATCTGGAGTCCTATGTGACAAGAAAGTGCCTCCGTTACTCAAAGGTAAGTTTCATAGGGCGGTGGTTAGGCCGACCATGTTGTATGGGGCTGAATGTTGGCAAGTTAAGAATTCACATACCCAGAAGATGAAAGTAGCAGAAATGAGGATGTTGAGGTGGATGTGCGGGCACACTAGCATGGATAAGATTAGGAATGAAGATATTCGGGAGAAGGTGGGCGTGGCTCCTATTGATGACTAGATGCGGGAAGCGAGACTCAGATGGTTCGGGCACGTTCAGAGGAGGTGTTTGGATGCCCCGGTAAGGAGGTGCGAGCGGTTGGCGTTGGTGGGTACGAGGTGAGGTAGAGGGCGGCCTAGTTGACTTTCCTATTGGGGAGAGGTGATCAGGTGGGATATGACGAACCTTCAGATCTCCGAGGACATGGCACTCGATAGGAAGCTGTGGAGGTCGAGCATTAAGGTTGTGGGTTAGGAGGTAATTGAGCATTTTTAGTCTACCAGTGTAGGGCTAGGCTGATAGGATTTAGTCTTAGACTGCTAATGGTCAGTGCTGTGTTTACACTACTCTTCCATTTTCATAGTGCCGGGTCTTATTTAGTAGAAATGGCGTGGGGTAGCCACTTTTTAAATTGTATTTACTTTTTATCCAACATTTTTAATGCTGAGCAAAAGTAGCCACTATTCTATTAAAATTAATATGAAAAGACAGTGTTACCTTTTCTTCTATCTCTTTTCCTTGCCAAACCCTCTATCAAGTTGTAATGAACCAAGAAATATCTAATTACAGCTTCGTCGGCAAGCCGAAGCCATACCAGGAAAAGAAAAATGTACAAAATTTGGAAGCATATAATACATAACCACTCGATCTGATTTAGAAGAAAATTCACAACAAAAAAGAAAAAAAAAGAGAGAGAGAGAAAATGCAGAAGAGAAGAATTGTTTGCTCATACTTGGATCTTTGATCGTATGCAATTATGGTGGTAGATGTATTTCGATTTGTGATTTCTGTGATGTATTTTTGGTTTTCTGTTACGTTATGGATCCTGAACTTACAGCTACAAGTTCAAAAGTTAAGGACACTTGGTCCTGAACTTCGAGTTTCAAGTTCAAAAGTTAAGGACACTTGGTCCTGAACTTAGACTAACAAGCTCAAAAGTTAAGGACAATAGGTCCTGAACTTACAGTTATAAGTTCAAAAGTTAAGGACAGTAGGTCCTGAACTTAGGCTAAGAAGCCCAAAAGTTAAGGACGATAGGTTCTGAACTTAGACTAACAAGCTCAAAAGTTAAGGACAATAGGTCCTGAACTTAGACTAACAAGCTCAAAAGTTAAGGACACTTGGTCCTGAACTAACAGTTACAAGTTCAAAAGTTAAGGACACTTGGTTCTGAACTTAGACTACAAGCTCAAAAGTTAAGGACAATAGGTCTTTAACTTAGACTTACAAGTTCAAAAGTTAAGGACAAGTAGTCCTTAACTTTACAAGCACAGAACTTAAGGACAGGTGGTCTTGAACTTCGAGTTCCAAGTTCAAAAGTTAAGGACACTTGGTCCTGAACTTTTATGAGCAGAAGGGTGTTTTCGTCCGTGCAGGTATAGTTTATTAAAGCAGTGGCTAAAGACTAAAGACATTTTAAACAGTGGCTTAAAAGTAAATACATTTGTTATTAGTGGCTAACCGTGCACTTCCTCCTCTTATTTACTGATCATTGTTTCTGCCTTTCATCTATTCGCCGGTTCTTGTGTTGTTGTTATTATGGTGATAAAGCTATGGCCTAGTTGACTCTACCGAAAAAGGCCACTTTGATGAACAATTAACCCGGTAACTTCTGAAGAGCTTGTGCGGATTCGGGGTTATTTTTAAATACCCCTAAGGCCACTTAAAAGGTTTTAGGTTTTAGGAAATTTAATTCAATTTCGGATTTAATCAAATGATAAGCATCTGCTAATTTGCTCAGAAGTTTCGGTTTATTGCCTCAATCACTTGCTGCTACTGCAATCGGAAGAAATTCCACATTTTTACTATCCAAAGCTGGTAAAGTTCAATTATTTTTTTAACTTTCTATTCATTAGGATAAATATCTGATTTTTTTTTCATATTAAATTATGTTCAATGATCACGAGTTTGCATTTGGGCATTTTTACAATGTAGAACAAGATACTCTGCTCTGTCCCAATTTATGCAATACTGTTTCCTTTTTAGTTTGTTGACACATTTCTATATAACTTTAAATTTTTCATTTTATCCTTAATGGAATGATTTATAGCTACAAAAATTTCTATGATTAAACTTCGTGCCCAGTCAAAACGCATAAGACAAATTGGGACGGAAGGAATATATTGTTATAAGAATCCTAATTTTCTACCAAATGTTTTATAGTTAGGGCTGATCCTTAAGTTTGGCAGCAAGAGCTATAAGTAAACACGGCAACACACATTCAGTGGTCCTTAATGGAGCTTATGATTCTGTGAGAACCAATGTTCACCTCACTTACTCATGAAAATAGCACAGACTAGCCAGTTTTTGGATTGGTAATCGATAAATAGTCAATGTTTGCAAAGTCATTGAAAAATAGCCATTGTTTTGTTGAAACACGGAAAGTTTCAGCATAATATGCGGGATTATGGAGCTCCTATATATAAACTTCCAGCATATTATGTTGGAACTCCAGCACACGAAAAGTTTCAGCATAATATAAGGATTATAAAGCTAATGCATATAAACTTCTAGCATATTATGTTCGAACTCCAGCACATTATGAATGTGCTGGAAGTTCATATGTACAAAATTCGAACTCTAGCATATTATGTTGGAATATTTTCGGATTTTTAAGAGTGTTTTTGTTCAGATTTATCTTTACATGAAAAAATGGCTAGATTTCAATTACTTTTGAAACTGTGACTATTTTTCAATTACGAATTGTAAATCAAACTATTTTTTATTTTTTTCCCCTACTTACTCCTATAGCAAAAAAAAAAATGATAAAAATAATTTCAGAAAACGAAGGGGGGGGGGGGGGAGGGTAAAGAAAAAAAGGTAAAAAAAGAGTAGTCGTAGTAGTAGTTAGGAATTCGGTAACAATTG